GACCCTCCGTCTACCCTCTACTAGACCCTAAATTCCCACTATTTGGGGCCATCTATACCCCTACTTAAGGGTACCCAGAGGGTCCTGGTATGATTATTATTGCTGTTATTGTTGATATTATTATTATGACGGTTATTACTATTATGTGGGCGAGCGAGGCCACAGATTACGAGGCCCGACATGTGTGTGGCCCCCTAAGCTTGAACCAAGAGCTCAAAAATACATTCTGGTGAATCTGTTTTCCTTACAGTGCAGCACATGTTTGGCAGAATCGCAGAATCAACCACCCACCTCATCAGCAAAGCATACGAGTTGTGCTTTGATTTGTCTATGAGCCCGTCTATCCATCGAGCAATAATAATATATCATATCTACAATACTAACAACTATAATAAGGATCGCCGAAGCGGGACAGCAACACAGATCGCTCAACAGAGCTGCCCTTCGGGCACCACAGCTTCTCGGCAGCATGCTTTCGGCCATAGGGCTTAAGGGTTTAACTTCGGGTTTAGCGTTTAGGAGCTTCTGCCTGACATGACAAGCATCGCAGTGCAGTTGACTGACCAGGATCCTAGACAACTGGGCTTGCCCCCGTGGTTTGCAATCCCCCCGCCCCCACACCTCGCACTTACCCACACCTGCAAGCCAAGATGACTCATTGCTCGTGCTATGCAGCTTGGCAAGCATCTCCGCACAGCTCAAAGCTTTGACTCTTAGCGCAAGCTTGCACATGAGCCCTATGCAAGCGCCAGGCAGATTCGGGCATCTGCGCCGGAGCAAAGATGGAGCCGGCATCCAACCCAACAAGATGCAGAGCCTACGGGATGCTTGACAAGTGTACGTACACACTTAAATACATAAATATATATATATATATAAATCTATACGCATACATGTGTATATATGTATTTATATACATTAATACACACAGTCACACATGTCAATACATACAGGTACGTACATACCTGTGTATATACATACATATTTTCATATATGCAATTATGTATTTTTATATATGCCTGTATAGCAATATGTATGTGTATATATATATATATATGTACATATATTGTAGACATGCCTACACATGTACATACACACACAACCCTCATAAGCGTACATCTACACATACACATGCACATACACATGCACATACAAATCTACATGCGCATGTACCTGTACGTAGACGTAGGCGTAGACATATACATGTATGCATACATGTGTACATATTTGTGTACGTGTGCACCTGTGTGTATAGATACATAAACATATACGTATATGTGTATGTATATATATATATATATGTATACACATGTATACATGTAGTTTTCACGTGTCTGTTTATCATTAGTGTCATTCTTATTGTAGTAAGTTGTAACACAAACCTCGAGCCTTTGCCGAGGAGTCGGGAGGTCAGCGGATGGTCCTCCAGAGATGTCTCCGTGCGAGCACATGTGCGGTGCATGGAGTTGGAGCGCCTCGAAGATCGGGAAAGAGTGGTTTAGGGGTTCGGGAGTTTAGGGTTTAGGGGTTTAGAGTTGTAGGGCCTGGTGCTTAGGGCAACAGGATGTTCGCTTCGATTTTCGAGTCGAGGCTGAGGCAGGTCTGTTCTTCTGTTTCGCTTGTTCCCCAAGGTACATCCGCGATCAGAAGAGGGTTTTTAAAAACGAAGAGGGTTTGAGGGTTTTAAAAACCCTCTTCGTTTTTAAAAACCCTCTTCTGTTTCGCTTGTTCCCGCAAGGTACATCCGCGATCTTCAAGTCGTCACATCCGGCGGGGCCAGCTTTAGCTCCTCGCTTCCTCATAGGATCTTTACGGGTTTAGGGTCTACTTAGAGGTTCATGGGTAGTTATAAGTAGGGTTAAGGGTAGGGCAACTATAATTATAACCCATGTTAGGGGACTTGTAACTCCACTTATAACTACCCATGAACCTCCAAGTGGGGAACAAGCGACTTGTAACCCATGTTAGGGGACTTATAACCCCACTTATAACTACCCATGAACCTCCAAGTAGGGTCGGGTGCCGGTGCTCTTTGCAGACCTGGCTCTTGACTGAGCACCTGCTCCCCGCGAGAGCAGGCGGGGTCCAAGCCATGACGATCATGGGCACAATGTGGGAGTTTCCGAAAATGAGGCGTACCTTATCTTGGGGTCCTTATATTAAGGATCCTACTTATTTAGGGTACTATATTAGGGGTCCCTATTTTCGGAAGCCCCCATATAGAACCCTGCAGCACTACACCCCGAAAGCCATGTCTGATTATGAAGGCCCCTTTATATGGAGGGCATGTCGGCAGCGTGGTGCACGAAATCCTGCCTGACGGAAGAGGCAATAAGTAAACATAGCGCATAACACATCGTAAAAGCGAGTATAATATGGTATAGTACCCTTAACCCTAAACCCTAAACCCTAGTATATCGTAGAATGGTGTGGTCTAATCTAGTCGCGAAAGTCTTTGGAAACTTTTCAAGCGGCCACAGCGGTCCACCAGCATCTACTACAGGCTGGAGAAAGAAAACCACAGGTCACAGCATAATCTACTACATTTTAAAAGTATAGATAATAGCAGGATACATAGGTAATCTAACATATTATGACAATGTGTATAATGCAGCATAATGAAGTAGAATATACAGCTGATGATACTTTCAGTCAAAGCGGAGTTTGTTCACGGAAAGGAGAGGTCTTATAATCGCACAAAGTACTGTAAACATGTATGCAGAAAATATATATGTAATAGATATATGCACATATACATAAATACACATATATATATATACATACATACATACATATACATATACACACGTATACATATATATATATATATACATATGTATACGTATACACATACACACACACACATGTATATATATATATATACAGTATACATATATATATATA